AACGGTTATAAATGAGACCCCTGACCAGAGGCTGCTATTCAGTGTCTGATTCAATTTATAATCTTGTTTTTGAGAAGATAGTTTCTGTTTCTTTTTTTTTTTTTAGAAAACATGTAAATATTTCGTAAAGCACCAGTGCGACTAACTGAACACTGCTTACGTCTGTATTTGATGACTGGGAATGAGAACGGACTGTGGAGTCTGTCAGAAACTATGGTGGCTGCAGAACTCAGAGAAAACACAAAAGGCCCTTTCTATAGCCAGTGTTTGGTTTGTCCATTCTGGGCTACTGTAGAAACATTGCAGTTCAACATGGCGGAGTCCATTGAAGACAACCTGTCGCGTCTGTAGATAAAAATGATAATTATCAGGTGATTATACACAAATGGAAACCTAGCTGTAAATACTATATTCCATTCTGTCAGTAGATCCTCCTAACTAGACCTTCAAAATAAAGCATTTGTATTTGTAAATGTATTATATCGTCAATTACTATCACATAAATGATACCCAGCTTTAGTTAGGTCGAGTAGATGACAATCCTAGTTGAGTTGTGACCTGAGGTGTAGTGGAACTGACGTATTCAAGCGTCATGCGGGTTACTGTGTGAAAAGATTTTATCAGCACCTCTGCACTACATCAGCCAGACTGGCGACATTTTTCATTGATAAATCATACTATGTGTTTAACTTGGTTCTGAGTTATTATTTATACTGTACGGAATTTGTACTGTTTTTTTTCGTTCTGTTTTTCTCTCTTTCTGAAAAGACCCATCTGTTCAAGCTTTCCAAAATATTTTGGCAATTTTACACCATCCATATGGTTACCAATTGTGTTTCTATTCATCCGCTTCTTTGTGTACTACTGAGTTTATGTTTGTTGGATGCTGGGTGTTGGTTTTGCAACTGAAGTGTGTTATCTTCATAACAACCAACTATTCCCCCTTTGTTTGGCAAAGCTAGTGCCCTAAGCCAAGGGTGGCAAACAGCTTGCAGTCACTCTCAGCAGCATCATTTAATTATTGTCTAAACATAGAAACGTCTAAACAGCATACAGGCAATGTAAATTAAATTTGGCATATTATTCCCTCTTATCTGGCTCCTGTAGCCTCTCAATGTAATATAATTGTCTCTTTGTGCACCCGCAGTGATTCCTGACACACTCCAGATCAGCTATTCCCGCTCACTCACCGGCCAGCCCGTGCCAGAGGGGGCTGAATTAACGCTGACATGCTCAGCCGGCATCCAATCGGAGCAGCTCACCCATCTGTCTATCATGTTTGGGAAGCGTAGCGGTGAAGAGGGTTTGGGGAAAGAGGCGGGAGGCGAGGTCAGCACCGTTAGAGAGATTATCTCCATCGACAAGCTGCTGGGGGTCTCCTCCGGACTCTTGTACAAGAAGCGGTACGACGACGGAGAGATCACGCTGGAGAAAAGAAACGGAGAGGCCGGACTGGATGTGTACGTAATGAAGATGAGAGCGGTGCAGCCAGACGACACCGGCTCGTATTTCTGTGAGGCCTCGCAGTGGATTCTGGACCGCGATCGATCGTGGCAGAAGATTGCACAAAGGACGATGGATATTGGCAACTTGACTGTGCAGCAACTAGGTCGGTATAACCAGGAAACTGTGCCAGTATGTGTGCTGAAATGTACCAGAACTGTGATCGTATGTTGCAACTGCCAGGGTCACACTGCAGCAAACATATTTCACAAGATATCATAAAACAAAGTTGGATGCTCTAGTTACAGAACAGACACTAGAATAGACAGAGACAATAAAAGTAGAATAACTGAAGTTTCTACTTGCCAGTTCAAACTCGTTATTCTTTCTCAGTGGCGTCAGTGGACCTGGACTTAGTAGTGTTGTGGAGTACATTGGACGGTTTCCAAACTGACTGAGCAGTTTATTGACGGATAGATAGGGAGCTGACTGAATGCTGGATACGCATCTGTAGTCAACTTATTGCTTTGTTTGTTGGCCTTAATGTTGGATAGAGTTAGTGTTTGGGTTTCTAAATAGCTGCCTGTACGGCCTGGTGGTTCCTGCTTAGCTTTTTCCTACTTTGCTGGGTGGATGGACGGACATTTTACCATTAGGGCTTCAACAGATCAATTCATCTTCAGACTATTTTCTTGATTAATTGACAAATATAGTTTGGTTTATAAAGCAGTAAAAGATACCAATTACAATATCTTAGAGCCTGAGGTGAATTTATTAAATGTCTTGTTTTACTTTATTATACCATTTTTATATAATGCAGGACTAAGAAAAGCACCAAATTCTCACATTTGAAAACCTGAAACTATCAAATTATTTGCATTTTTGCTTGAAAAACAAATTAAACAATCACTCAATTGTCAAAATAGGTAACAATTAATTTTCTGTTGATTGACTAATTGCAGCCCTACTTACTATCTGTTCGGGACTGTCAGATCCGCCTGTCTGATGAGCTTGAGGCTCTCTTGTTGATTATCCAGCTGGATTTGATGGGTCCACGGCTGGCTGGTCGGACAGCTGGATAACTGCCCGCTGCCTTGCCGCTTGGCTCATTTTAAATTCTAAAGAGCTTCTGTAGATCTAAAGGATTAAGTAATCTTTTCTCCCACCTTGGCCTCTTGTAGCCTGCAAAGAGGATGGCTATCTTTCTGTCAGACTGATGTGTGCATTACCGTCAGAACAGAAAAACTAGCAGTCCTTTAAACATCTTTGAACAACTTGGATACAGAAGTTAAACCGATATACATTCTTTATATGTTTGCTCATAGGAAAATACTTTGAAAGTTTTGCCAACTTACCAGCTTCATCCATGCAATGGATTAACGTAAGTTTTAGTATGAAGTTAACACCCAGTTTTGCTGGAGCTGGATTGAAATGTTGAGTTATTCTAGCCATGTGTATTAACTTATTATATGTTGCTGATGAGAAGTACAAACAACTTCCTAGTACTAAGTAGCGAAGTTAAACGTTGTTTAGGTCACGTTTTATTTCTCTCCAGCCCTAAAATTGAAGCTGAGGTTGAAGCTTTGCATCAATGCATGCATTGTTTTTTCTGACCCTCGCTGACAAACACCATTTAGTTCCGTATTTTCCCGCCCTTGTTGTCTGACTAATACGTTGGTCTGACATGTCTCCTTTTGTTTATATAAATAATGTGTCTACTATTGAACAGATCTGTGTTAAGAGAAGTGTTGTGGTTAAATGAGGCTTTGCTCACACAATGGGCCAGTGTTTATATCTTCCCTGTTATACCAGGGTATTAGTACTAACTATATAAAAACCTTTTCAGTTCATTAAACAAAGTTGCACATACTCATTTGTGCTATGTTCTCCTACTGTTATGCTTTATTTGTATTTCTGAAAACAACACAGTAATTTAATCAACATGCTCAATTCTCTTTCATCGAGCAATAATAGAAAATTACGGTACACATTTATGTGCTAATCAATTTCATCGTGGCTATTAAACATGTAATGTACGAGAGAGGCCACGCTAGCTTTCCCACAGATATTATACCCACAGTATATCGCTTACTGTGAGGATGTGCTTGTTTTGAGGCCTTCCACCACAGAGGATTTACTTTTACTCTTACTAACCTGTCTCCCTCTACCTTTTCTGTTCCCCAGCGGAGTCTCTCAGTGTAACATCCTCGCCCAGAGGGGAGGTGACCCTGCAGGTCGGTTCCCCTCTCATTCTGACCTGTGAAGTGTTGGGGCTTCCGTCTGAAGTAAACTCGGGCCTGCTAGTTCAGTGGATGAGGAGGGGATCTGTAAGCAGCGATGTCGCTGGGGCCGGGGGAGTCGAGGTACTGATTCTCACTCTGCTGACTTATTTGGACTAATATGGTGTGTTGTTTGCAGGTTATAGCTCAGTGTGTGCAGTTGCAAATAGTAGGACAATGTAGAGTTGTGTTTGTTTTGCACCTGCACAGTATAACTGAAGTATAAATGTAATGTTAGCGGGAACTGCTGAAACATTTCACATAAAAGTTGTAATATTATTGCCACATTAGAGTTTGCTTTGAAGAATTAGCAAAGCATGCCAGTTTTTCATACATATGTTTGTGCACTTTCCTATTTTTATTACTTTTTTAAGTTGGTACAATATGAGAATCCTCTTGCAGGGAACTGAAACTTGCCTGTTTTCATAGACTAAAAGATTCATTAAATAATAATAGACTGTCCATTGATTTAATTGCAGATGTGGAAAAGTAATCAACCACAGTCACCATTAAGTCTAATTTATTTTCTGTCAAAGTTACATTCTTGTTTCATTCAGCTGAAATTACACATAGATTTGAAATATTTTCAGGTGTGGTGCATTCAAGTGCTGGCGGCAAAGTTCTGATAAATTACACTTGAGAATGGGCTTTTCAAACAGCAGCCTTTTTCATTCAAGAAGTGAAAAAAAATGACATTATGGTTTTCATGACATTAGTGTTTGATCGGCGTCATCAATCTAATAAGCTATGGCATCTTTGGAAACGGTTGGCAATAATATAAAATATTTACAGTTTCTCGTAAATTGCCTAAAATAAATCACATTTCAGTGTACAATCTATACAATCTGTACAATTGTTTTTTATGTCCAGGTGGAGGTGGCCCAGATGAGCCCAGACGGTATTGTGAGCTGGGGGGATGACCTAAGCCGAGCTAGCGGGGGCTCTATGGAGAAAGTGGCAGAGGGAAGGTACTCCCTGAAGCTGTTCTCAGCTCGCCCCTTGGACTCAGGGATGTATCGCTGTGTGGTGAGTGTGTACGCTGGAAGAACAAACCCTGGCCCCTCTACTCCTGTGACACTCACCCAGAAGTCTGAGGGAGTCACCGTCAACCTCAAGACCAAAGGTGAGAGGCGTTATTTAGTGACACACATGCTTCACCTATAGCAGTGATTCCCAACCAGTGGTACAGGATAGTTGCCAGGAGGTATGCGAAAAGATTGTGAGTTTAAATTCAGAACAGAAATGTTCGAATGTGGCCCTAAGCCTCTTCTGAATTCGCCTTACTTGGATATGCAGGAAATAAAGATTAATTCGTACAGGGGCTAATTGTGCTTCAAAGATAAAATAAACTTTTAATTATACTGAAAGGCATTTTTGTTCCAAACATGCTCAGTATACATAGTAAAATAAAAATAATTTGTATTTATTTGGTCTAATGTAGATGATTTTATTTCCAGACTTTTCTTTTTGCTGTTGATTGCATTTTCTGTGTTCGGGGAACTCTATTGTTTTGGTCTAAGAAACTATTTAAAATTGTAAATTCATGGAGTGCCTTGGTGGCCCAGAGGTCTGGGCTGTGGGCCATTTGGCTGCCTTCAAGTCTCCAAAAAGACCTCTGATGCTTGTTGTCCAAATCTCGGTTTCTCCCAGCTTTACAAATCTGTCTTAAAAGATCCTAGTAAATTCATAACATAACAAAAAAAGGATTTTCTGAACAATGGTTTTACTGAAAACGAAAATTCAGGGATAAGTGATGAGTTATCAATGATTAGTTAGTGTAGTACAGTTTTCCAGTCTTCAAGGATAAACTGCTGTTATTTTCATATTTATCGGAAACGCATGTTAGCAGAACTAGGGGTTAACTCAGATCACCTTATTAAATATTGATGATTGCTAAAACATTGGAAACATCTGATTGACCACAGATAGAAATCATACATTTTATTTTTGTTCTTAAACGGACAGTCACATGTGTTCAGTTCACCCTCCATAAATTAATCTTTGAATCTACCATTTCCTTCTACAGATGTGCTAGTTTCTGCTGTGGCTCAGCTCCCTCGGGGCCCCCTGTTAAAAAGAGGCAGCACCATCACCCTGATCTGCAACGCCACCGTGACAACCACAGGTCCTGCCCAGGCACAAGTGCAGTGGCTCCGGTGGCCAATCCCTGAACCGGTTTTCAAGAAGGGACAGCGCCCAAAATCTGATGATACTGTACCAGAACCCCCTGTTGTGGAAAAACCCATGTTGGTAGCTGTCCTAACGTACGACGGTGTTGCAAAGATCTACACCAACAGCAGTGAGGTTAGCGTCGACCGCCTGTCCGCTGTCAGCTACAGACTGAGGGTCCACACAGCAACTATAGATGATCAGGGCATGTATGCGTGTCATGCCGAGGCCTGGGGGCAGGACCCGCATGGAGGCTGGTACGACACGGGGGCCAAAGCAGAGTCAAATGCAGTGAATGTTTACCTGTATGCCAGAGGTAAGTTGTTTTTTTGTAATAATCCTAGTGATAGTGGGTGAAAAGTAATGCCTTACAAACAGACCCAGTTTACTAAGTAATTTTTCAGGGTAGTTTTGCTGACAGCACGACTCTTCTTCACACTCCCACAGTTAAACACATTAAAATCTGCACATCTACAGTCTGATCTGTCCTTTACTGGAGCATTTGGGGGTGAAGGAGCAAGTGCTGCTCTTTCACCTTGAGGGGATCGAACAGGGGGATTGAAAGGGTGACTGGCTGGATGATGACCTGTGTAAATGTCAAGTGTAAATCTCAA